CAGGCAAAGGAATTGGGCCATGCTACAGCGACAAGGCCGCCCGGCGGGGTGTCAGGGTCGGCGACATCCTGGACGAGGGTGTGCTGGAATCCAAGCTGAGGAGCCTCGAAGCCGGCTACCGGAGACGGTTCGGAGAGCTGGACTATAACGTCGAAGAGGAGATTGCCAAATTCAAGGTATTCTTCACTAGCATTAGTTTCTACAGCTTGGAATCCCATGACTAACGATAGGAGCAGGAATATCGAAGCCTTCTGCAACCGCATGTGGTCGACCAATTGACATTGCTCAAGAAGTTCGAGGATGAGTCTGCCTCCATACTCGTCGAGGGCGCCAACGCTCTCATGCTCGACATCGACTACGGCACCTACCCCTTCGTGACGTCTTCCTGCACCGGCCTCGGCGGAGCAATCCAGGGAATATGTCTGAACCCGACCTCCATCAAGTCTATCGTCGGCGTCGTCAAGGCCTACTGCACCCGCGTGGGCTCCGGGCCCTTCCCAACCGAACAGCTCAACGAGATCGGTGAGAAGCTACAGGTGGCCGGCCGCGAGTTCGGTGTCACTACCGGCCGTAAGAGACGTTGTGGCTGGCTGGACATGGTCCTGCTGCGCTACAGCACCAGAATCAACCACTATACCGCCCTCAACCTGACCAAGCTGGACATCCTGGACGACTTTGACGAGATCAAGGTTGCTGTCGCCTACAAGATTGACGGCAGGGAGCTCGAATCCTTCCCTGCCAGCTCGGATGCCCTGGAGAAGGTCGAAGTTGTCTACGAGACCCTGCCCGGATGGAAGTCAAATACCATGGGCGTCTCCAGATGGGAGGACCTCCCCGCCAATGCACAGAAATACGTCGAATACATCGAGCGTTCCCTCGGCGGCGTCCCTATCAAATGGATCGGGACTGGCCCGGCCAGAGCGCACATGATTGACCGTAACTAGACAGCAAGCCAAACAGGACATGCCTTTTCCTTTCCTCCATTTTTTCCCTCTCTTCTCCCACCCCTCCCATGCATGCTGTACTTTGCATGGTTTTCTTGTGTCCCTATCTACATATCTTTTTTCCTTTCTTTTCTTCTTATTACTGGGATTCTGCGCATATCTTGTTGGTTCTTGAAGAGCTTCAACACGCTTAGACAGGGAAGTCCGGGGTTTACTTCAGGGGGCCAGGGGCATCACTATCTATCTAACTAACGAGTTACCTGCATAAGCACATAGTTATCTTATCTTCGTCTTCTGGGATAGTTACGTATACTTACTTTTGGTCGGTACGGACTTCCTATCGCTTTTTAAACGAAGTACAGGGCAGACAGTCCGTCAGGGGCACAGGCAGGACAACAGCCTAGGATTCATACAACCAGACGATACCCTCCACTTCTCCCCACCTGCGTCTCTATATAGCCGCTGTAAATTGTAGAGACTCCCTTCTGTAAATAAAAATACCGTCCAATCATACAATCAGCCTGCTGTTTCATCGCGCCAGCCAAGCGGCGGCTGTCTGCATGAAAGCCCCCTGCATGCGCCAACCAGCCCGCAACTCCGGCTGCATCGTCAAACACGCCAGCAACAACACGCCGTCTGCTATTCATAGCATATTCACCCGGCGCTTAGAGCCATTGAGGCAGCGGGCTATTCACCAGACCAGCCTGTTCCCCAGCCCGCCAGCAGCTGCTTTTTTATTGCGGATCTTGCCGCCATGGCCATCCTGCTGCTTGTGTCCTCCAGCTTTGCCAGCGTCTTCTCCGGCTTCCCACAGAGCAGGTCTCTTCACCTACTACTACTCTTCTTACATAGAAGACACCGGCTGATACCATAATAATATACTATCTAATCTACTGCTCTATCTCGACGTCTAAGGAGGTATGCCATCCCCTTCCTGCTCCGTGGGCTTAAGCTAACCTACTGTTAGATCCCATAAAATAGATACCGCCGGCCATGGAAAACTCCAACGACAGCATGCATTCACGGATGCGGCTGGAGCAGCTGGCTGCTGATATGGGTGTCTACATGAACATGAAGTTCCCTCGAATCACTCGCAAGGATACCGTCTCGTCCTTCAGTCAGCACGATAAAGATGCTGCAGAAGCGCTGGCAAAGCGGAAGCGGCTGGAGGCCTTTTCAGCCAAATCCCATGTATTCAGACGGACCCCGAGCAAACGCAGCTTCAAGCGAGAGGAATTGTACTCAGCTATAGACACGGCGATCCGAGATGACGCCTCGCTGGGCATGCTGGAGTACCTTCTTACGCAGCTCAAAGAGACCAAGGCGAAGAAGAGCTTTTTCAAGACTCAGGAGAACTCCGTGGCTCTCGACATGACCGACCTGCTTAGACTCGCGACAGAGAAGAGGAACTCCAGCTTTCTAGAGATCCTGTCTCCTCACGTTGACCAATGGGGCCTTGATGCTGCTCTCGGCATCGCGGTTGCAAGCTTGGATTTGCATTGTATCAAGGCATTGCTCCAGAATGGGGCAGATCCCAACTCCTGTCACCAACAGTTTGTCACGGCTGTAGGTAACGGACATGTTGCCGTCGTTGAGATGCTGGCTGGAACCGAAAAGAAACTCAGCAGCTCCTGCCTGGATGAGGCTCTTCCGGTAGCAGTTTCGATAGGGTCTATGAGGTTGGTAATGTGTCTCATACACAACGGAGCAAACGCGGATACAGACCAAATACTGGAAACTGCTGTACGGGCTGGAAGACTCGACATATCTGCTGCCCTAGTCCTCGCCAGTCGTCCTCCTTCTCGGATCTCGCTTGACTCCGCAGCTGGTGCTGCATATCATTCGAACAACCTCAGCTCAGAAGAACGAGATTCCTTGCTTGAGTTACTTCTTTGCGCTGGCGCAAATGGAGACTGTGTTGCCAGAGCTCTAGTGAGCGCCGTTGCAGCCAACGATAAACCATCCGTCTCTCTAATTGTCTCTTACAATGGGAACGTCACATATAACTCCTGCGAGGCCATCATAGCTGCCATAAAGGGAGGGAATCTGCACCTTCATGATATCCTGTTCAAGGGCGCCATTGATCCTGACTCTGCCTCTACAGCATTATCCAGGGTCCCCGAAGTGGAATCGAGCTTATCTCCCACGAAAAAGATATCCATTATTGCTCATTTCATAAAATGCGGCGCTTATGGAAGCCCACTACACCAATGCCTCGTAGATG